GAAGCTATCAAGGTTCTAAGTAGTTGGCCTCTAAATATCGAATAAGCCAGCAAACTATCAATGCCCTGAAATACGGCCGAGCGTAGCATCTCGAAGTCAGTGGAACTTCGACTTAAATACCACTCTTACTCATTTGCATTGACCGCGATTATAAAAACACATTTTGGTAGGAAATTGTAAGCTGAAATTAGGAAGGAGAGGAAAATAACTTTAATTAAAATTAACTGTTAGAAACTTAGGATAAACTTTACACATTTATTATAACCCCTCCAAAATACTACAGAGTAATGCCCTCCGACTGAAATGTTCTTATGTCCACGTGTTTTTAATTCTAGGAACGAGTTTTAGTACCTTCACGAAACCCCTTCAAGACTCGAAGAAAACACTTTATTGTATCAACAGACTGAACAGTACAGACACGAAACGGCAATTTTAACCTTGGACAAATGAAACAAATCAGACGGCGCCAAATTAGTTGAATGCGGAGCCTGCAGATCTGAATATACTGAATTTTTCGCAAAAGTTTGTAAGGATCTTAAGTTCACTAACGTTTATTTTATTTTAAAACTTTACTACCCTCTCTTATTTTCTACTTCCGGCCAGAATAAACGCGTTAGCTTGTTTATTCAAATTGTACTTGCTAATGCTTAAGTATTTAAGTTGTGGCTTTTTGCCAAGAGCAGAGTTAGATGGAGAGAAAGTGAGCCTCCTTGCCACTGCATTTTACACGAGCTTGCTATCAGTTGCTGTCTGCCTTTAAGGCCAGAGGTTTTATTCCTCTCGAAAGCCAAAGACGTATTGTAGTTTTCCGCAGTTCGCGTACTACATACGTAATAATTTAAAAAGGCCAGTCTTAGTGTTAGTCATTTATGTAAAGTGTCCAAAATTAGCTTTTATTTAAATTTTAGTTAGTCAGTAGTTCTCATATTTTTACGTTCAGACCCCAAGTGGTTGGGCTTTATATCCTGAAGTGCGGGAACGCCTGTAATATCGTGGAACATAAAGGATAATTTAACTCTTCTCATCTTGTCATCCTTGCTACATTCCATAGGACATAGTTTGTAGTCAGACTCACTTTCTAATCAGGACACGTCATGTTGGCCAAACAGATTAGAAGGAACATTAGTCCTGATAAGTTCAAAAAAACAAGAATTAAGTTAATGGGCAAAATTCATGAATTACCTAGCCATGAATCAAATCATTTTCGATGAAATGCTGCACACTGGTGGCGAAAAACGTTAAAATGATACTTTTAGTTAAAGATTTGTCCAATGGTAGATATTCATCATGCGCAGTACTACTTCAACAAAAAAAGTCATTGTGTTTTCCATTTCCAAACAACTCTAACAGTCTCTTAAGTTTAGTTTGAACTTTCAAGCACCACTCGCTTACTGATGAGCTGTTCATGTATAAGAAGCTCATATTCGTATTTCATCACTGATAATAGGCATTATCAGAGCGATTCCCCTTCAAAATGGATCTCAAAAGTCCCTTGAACACTTCTTTGTGGTATTTTTTTCAGCAATTTATTTCAGCAATTTTGCAAAAAACTCGGTGAGAGACGCGCCATAAGCCCAAACAGTCTATCAGAATTGTTCGATGGAATCTGATAAATGTAGCGATGCTCATGACTTAAAATAGTTAGTCTACCTAAATAAAAGTCGTAACAACTCAGTTGCGAAGCTAGAGAGAGACGGCTTCTTTTTTTTTTTTTTTTTTTTTCTCTCTCTTATTGTTTCTTTTTTCTTACCTGTCCGATGAGAAGTATTCTTTTAGTAAGTGAACTTTTTGCATAGAATTTCGATGATTTTCTTACTCACTTGAAATTTTGCTGTTCTAAAATAAGAGTATAAATTAGAAAAATCAACGGAATTAAAACGCGGAAATTTTTTCCCTTTCTAGAAGAATAATTCTTAGATATAAGCGATAATTGCGCAAAGTATCTGAAAAAGGGGCTTCAAGCTCTGCTTCAATCCTTTTTGATCCCAGACACGCGTTACAAATTAAGTGCTTCTTAAAATAACGTAAAAAGATTTATGAAAACAGTTTCAAATATGTGGGTAGAAAAACTCTGTAAAAATAAAATCTGCTTGTACTATTTATGCAAACCCCATAATATTAACTACGATTTTTAAAAGAGATCACCACGGGAAGACGGGCACAAGGGTTCTTCCCTCCTCTTCCACTACCACTAACCTCTCAAGAGGACTTTCAGCTCGCCGCGTATTTAGAGTGCCCCCCTGTCGCACAGACACTATATATTTACAAACATCTATGCCTTCTCCGGGATTCGAACCCGTTTCTTCGGCACGACAGTCATCGACGCTGAGCGCTATCCCGGTTTTGTGGCATGAAAGTGTATAATATAGATATGTGGAATTCATTAGTTAATTTCATTACAATAAATATTTCACTTAAAAATTTAAGCGTAATTTTGGGGATTATTTATTTCAGAATGATTGACGCTATTGCTCCTATTACTTGTGTAGTACTATTACTAGAGCAAATAAGTTAACAAATAAAACAAAAATTACTTTTATAATGAGCACATACTTGATTGGAACTTGATTGAAACTGCCATCAGTAAAACATTAGTGCTAAACCCAAAATGCAGTAAGAGCTGCCGCCCGGCCCTAAGTTATACCCCCTGGACACATAACTCTCTGACCTGAATAATTCATTGAATGTATTATGAAATGAATTAATGAATTAAGGTTTTACAATAAAAATATTTCGAATCATTTAAGCGCAAAATGCTGCTGAAAACGTAATTTATCATAGACGAAAACGTAATAAATTTCGAACTAATAGCACAAAGACATGAAATAAAGTACCAAAGTAGGTGCGATTCCAGAAACAATCTATGATTGGTTAATATTACTTTTAGTTGCCCTTTTCCAGTAGCGTTACACAACGTAGAAAATCTCAAATTTAGGAGAACAGATAAATTTAGGGGGAGATCACCAAATATAGAATGTTAATTTTGAGGTCGCCAATTATTTTTAAAGCAGCTATCGTATTTCGTATTTTTATCCTACCTTAGTCAAAAAGTTTTGCTTTACAATTACTTTGATTGGCAAGAGATATTTTCATTAAGAATTACGTAAGATCGCATGATTATTTTGAATGACGCAGTTTAGACTTATGGCACGATTTTTAGACAGAAAGTCCCCAAATTAAATAAAACCAAAAGAGGTTATAGCCAATTAAAATTAGAAGTTGGCTTTCATATTTTTTTATCTTACATATATATATACGTATGTAATGAAAGCAAGCACTCATTGTAATGAAGGAAACTTATAATTAATTATGATGTTGAAGATTTAGAAGTACTATGTAGTTAATTATGTTGTTGCACAAATGTTGATCCATGATGAAGAACAAACTTTGCAGTCGAGGCGGTTAAAATACTCATCTTGATTTCAATTGACAATTGAGGCACCAACTCACTTGGCAATTTAACTGTGCCTATTCGAGAGCATTTGTATTTTTGATGTTATTAGGAAGAGAGCAGCGAGACAGCGTGCCAGCGAGACCCGGGACAGAAGCAAAATGCGCATTTATTCCAGTACGGCAGCTTATAAAGAGAAAGGTTCGGTTTAAGTTCGAATTAGTTACGCCATCAGCGTTATTAAGTAATGATATGGATTGGTCTAGAAATTCCGCAATCCAGAAATACTTATTAATACTTTTAGAATTCAGAGGAGATATATCCAAATTAAAAATGAGGAATTGAAAGGCTATTGATAATTTAAATTATAATTTTGATTTACAAATTTTTTATCTTACGTTGTATATGTATACGTATGCCTAATCGTTTTAGTAGGGTGTGTAAATAACGTATACATTTTTCAATTTCCATTTCATTTTATTGTGTATTTTATTTTTATCTTTAAATGGTCAAAAAATCATGCGGAATGAAACGTTATACAGCTCTTTTGGATTATTCAGGTTTTGATATTTCAGATAATTAGATCCTTGAGAATTCGGTCTGGAACATAAAACTATCAATAATCTATAATGTATTATAAATTTTAATGTGATTGGTATAGCCACTTCAAATAAATAATAAGGGAAAAATAGTAAGGGATTTTAATAATTTTGATTTCATTATTTTAAATGTAATAGTTTTTTTATACAGTTTCAGTATCTTGTCGGTTTGATTTAATAAATTTCTACTAAATTATTAATTAAAGTTTTTGGAGATATATATAATATATATATAGACCTCCTTACTCGGCTTAAAAGTCCTTATCCACCTTTATTTTCGCAGTCGTTTGTCGTAGTCATGTACGTATCTTCAATTAGAGAAGTGCTTTAAATGACAAAAATATTCAGGTTTTAGTAATGCCAAATTGAGAAAAATAATTCTCCACAATAATGGGATCTGCCGGTTATTATACTTAAAAACGTTTTAAACTCGTTATGAAAAAAATTAAAAAATTATGAAGTTTGACTCCCGTACGAAAAAAATTCACCGGAATATTTAACTTCAAAATTTACAGTTCTTGATTTTGGTTTCAACTTACCTTGAGGAATCGGTTAATAAATTTAAATAAATTTGCATTAAGTGAATCGAAAAATGTGTATAATTTAAGAGCAAGGAAGTCATGCTGTGTTCACATCAGACTTTTTTATTAACTTGTCAGATTTTATACTGATAAAAGTTAAAATATTTTATGAAAATATTGGGTCAAAATGCTGCAAACATGAAAATTTACATTTATTCATCACCAGATTTCCGTAATGCTTAGTTTTAGCAAGAAAATTGGATTTCTTGAAATTTTGACTGATTATCGTCATACGGAAGCTCAGTAACCATTATTTGACACAAATAAAAACGTTGAACTTTAGTTTTAACTAGAAGGTGTATATAATTTTTTATCTTATATTTGTTATGAAACATTTTAAATAATTTTTAGTATTACTTTGCTAGCTAGCTTTTAATCTAAAATGAAAGGAAACCCCATTTTGCAATGCTGGCAAGGAAAATAACTCACCCATATACAGAAGATCTGTTGTATATCTTCTTCAAGGTGGGTCTCCTCCTCCTAATTTTCGGAAACCACCGTCTAGTAGCAGCCATGATCTCAAAAACTAAAGCACATAACCTCGCTGACTAAAACTCTGGTGTCGTCTGATTGAAATCCATCATGCCTAGTTGGGTCCTTGGAGTTACCCTAGTTCCGAGGTTGGACGTTAACTGTCGTCGCGTAATCTGCCCCATTCAGGGCCTTGACGAGTTGGCCATAATAATGAAGAAAAGCAGTAAAAAAACAGGAGGGAATTTTCACTTCGACCGCCGCGTTATTAATCTAGGAGAGTGGGCTCGGGCGTTTCGTTGGATATCCCCGGGGACCAAGCGATTAGGTGGATGGAATATTCTGTTAGGGTTACAGCTACTGGCAAGTGGATGTTTTTTGCGGCGAAAGCTGTCTTGTCTTCTTTTCTTTCCCACTCACGCTTCAGGAAGAGATAACGTTCGTTTCGAATTTGACAATGGAAGCTACAATGGGAATTGAGCAGCGAGATGATTATTCAAGTGAATCTCATGATGCAATAATTTCCATCATTCATTACTCGAAGAACGTGCCTCTATACGGTTGACCCGAACGTTACCTTTCATAATTATGGTATCTGAATGACTCATTAGAAGAGCACGCATTTTGTACGCATGACATAAGTAAATATGCACCCCAAATTTAAAAAAAGAAATTTTTCCGTCACAAATTGGTGAGTCTTGGTAAATTTGCAAGTCATCACAAAGTCTGTAAACATACCAAGTGAGTAACCGAAAACAGTTGAATCCCGGTATCCGTGATTCTTCACAAGCCGATTGATAATGATGTTTGAAAACTGGTAGTTCATCTTTAGCTCTGATTCCAGCGAATGGGCTGGCTGTATGGGATATCACGTGCTTTCTCCAGTGTGTAATAGCCCCTTCGGGATCCGAATGTTTATGACCGCTGAATACTGGTAGTTGGCCGTGCTGACTGCAGGGTTGTTTTTTGAAATTTTTTCCGTGTGTAATACGTGTCAGTTTTCTTTAGGAAGTCCTGCACGAAAGCATACTTTCCCTTAGCCAGATAGTCCGCGTGTGTTTTGCTTTAAGTTAGTCAAATAACTAAACCCATGCGTATGAACAAGTTTTCCTTAAAGCATCCTCCTATCTGCCCAAGCGAAGATATCCTTGTATTCCCTTACACCAGAGTTTTTTAAACAGTGAATCGCGACCCCCGTCGCGGGACCTGCAGCAGGGAGTCACCAAAAATTTTAGCAGTTTTGATATTTCTTTCTTATAATAATTTTACAATTATCAAATATTTTTACGCAATTTATCTGAAAATTGATAAAGATAAGGCAATGCAGACAAAGCAAAAACGAAAACGTTTCGACGTATTCCTTTTATAATATAGTATAATATAAACGTTCATTTTACTTGCTTTGCACGTGACGCTGTCATTCCGTCTGTTACTTATTTAAAAATTTTACATTGTTTTCTATGACTTAAAATTAGAAATTGAAGGTAATGACTTAAAACTGCAATAGTATATTACAGTACAAGTGAAAAAATTGACGCATTGCACCGACATACACTCACGCGTGTATCGGATTTGCGCAATTCTTATGGATTTCGTAAATGTTATGGAGTCCAAGGACAGCGAAAAAAATCTCAGCGAATAAAAGGGGTCTTGACTGAAAAAAGATTAAGAAGCCTTGCCTTAGGCAGATATACCTTGCTTGTTTTGCATATTCAACTAACAAATAACTATGGCAAAAGCACCAAGATGTTTTGTCCTGCCCGTAATTTTAACCCGTGGTGCCTGTAGAGAATTATGCCGCTTTTGTATGCTACTACTGTAAAGCACTCGAGTATTTTATTATTTCGGTTTGTTTCATTTTAGAATAAAACTGTGTAAGGTATTTCTCCCGTTTCCAGCGTCCCTTCGTGGTGTAGTAGACCTGTAAGCTGGGCCGCTATTCCAGAGGTCCGTGGTTCGATTCTTGGCGAAGGCGGTTGCTATTTTTCATCTTTTCGGCTTTTCCAATTTACCTAATGTCTCTGCAGTGGCGCCCGAACTAAAAGGGTTGTGGATGATGACTCTCCACACCCAGGATTCGGCGAATGGGTCCCCTAAAGAGCCCAGTCGCTCTTTAAAAGGGGGAGTAAGGTATTTCTCCCGCCTTCCTAGCGTGCCTTCGTGGTGTAGTGGCCAGCACACTGAGCCGGTTTCAGAGGTCCGTGGTTCGATTCTCGGCGAAGGCGTTTGATAATTTTTCATCTCATTCATCTCATTTTTATCCTAATGTCTCTACAACTGTATAAGTGACTTCATTTTTAATAGTTCGTAAAAACTCATTAGAAAATCGTGAATCTTTTAATTTCAATTTTCTAATAATTTCAAATATTTCAGACATTTTGCCTTCCATTTTTATATCATAAACATTTGTATGACTTATTTGTAAATTTTTTAAATAGATAATAGGAAGTAAAAATAGCATATTTTGATTTGTATGAGTACCAATACAGATATACTAAAATCGTTAGTTTAAGTGTGCCAACAATAATTTTTCCCGTACTCACGTAATACCATTAAAAAAAGATCAGGTGCTTAAACATTTCTATTTCTCATTTTTCGTTTAATTATGGCTATAAAAGAGAACATCCTGTAGATTACAACATTACTATCTAGACTTACTGATAGATACTGATAAATGAAAATGCGATTAAAATTAAACTGCTTTTTCGATTTGCACGGTTATGAATTATACACTTCGCTGATTACAGAATAACTGGGTCCTGAGTTTTGATGTTTTACCAATATTGTTATAAACCGTTATTTTCCTGTAAATAATTATAATCAAGGCGACTGAGGATAACTGGCTACTAAGGCTCCTTAAAATCCATACATAACTTAAAAATGCTACACAGTTGAAACATTCTGTTAAAAGATTCTTAAATTGCCCTTTTGTAGCAGACGATGCAAAACTGTATTAGGAAATTCCAATCTTCTCTAAGTAAAAATTTCGGAGAAAAGAAAAAATTCTTCTCATTTCAGGAAATTTCAGATTTGTAGAAACTGGAGAACGTTATTATTTGTCTTTCAAAAATTTGGACTTTTTTCTGTATGGACAAAACATACAGAAAAAACAGCACTACGAAAAACAGCACAACTGAAATTTTGCACTATAACTTCACTTGTCCAGTCAAACTGCTTGGAGAAATTAATTTTTAAAATATGCAAATAATTAACAAAGCTTATTATACAAAATCTGTATAGTTATTTGAAGTCGAAAAAGTAATCTATATTTTATTTATACGAATAATATCATATTAATATAAATAATGCTGTAAAAGGACAAATTGCATTTTATCTCTGATTTTGATGTTGATTACCCTTTACACGTGTAGCCGTTGCGATTTTCTAACGTTTCTGTTACGTTTTACAGTATTACAATATTAATGATAAATATTCCCTTTTATTTGTTTGGAAATGATAACATATCTTTGCGTGCGTACGGGTTCGTTATGAAATGAATGCACAAGTCCGATGAAAAATGAACAAAAATTTATTATTATCACAACAAAAATGCTTAAATTTTCTCAAATTATCATGCAGTATTACAATATCTCACAGTAGTTATCTTTTAACTATTCAAATGTACAATAGAACGTAATTCAAAACAGCTAAAGAACGCTAATCCGCGAATTCGCTACAATCAACAACAGTAGTTTTCTAAACAACAACAAACTAAGCAACTACTACAAACTGAGATGTTTTCCTCCTTTTATAAGATTTTAAAATCACGCGCTAGAATTTTCCAGTACTTTCTCGAAATCAAAAAGAGATATTTATTTATTTAATGCACGCGCTCTTGTATTTTCAATTTTCCGGCTTAGCTTTCTTTTAATATTCGTCACGCGCTGCACTGCGCGAGAAATAAAACCATTTAATTTATAATTGAACTAACATTAGCTTTTTAAATACCAAATTCGTAACACTGCCCCCTTCCCAAGGACTGCACGTCCCGGGCAGTACAATCCCTGGACAGGAAGCTAAACTTACAACTGTGGCATAAATGCATTAATAAGCATTACATTACAATAATAAACAACATGAACAATAAATGCAATAAATAAAACAAATCAAATGCTATCAAATACAAATCAAATACTAAATGCAAATCAAATACTAAATACAAATCAAATCAAATACACATTTAAAACAAAATGGACCATGGTCTTATACTATTTACAATTATTTACATTATGTACTATGGCCATAGTAATGAGCTAACCTGTCGTAATGAACGACTTTAGGTTTAGAGTTCGAAGACTTACGAATCCGAACCACGACGTCATTCAGCCTGTTTAGGACTGTGTACGGCCCATCCCAAGGTGACTGTAATTTCGGACAAAGTCCTTTCCGTCGAGTCGGATTCCACAACCACACCTTGTCTCCTTCGTGGAATTGATGTTCAGTAGCTCTTGTGTCGTATCGGGTCTTCATCTTCCTCGTCGCCAAGTTGACTCGCTCTCGTGCAAAATTGTGCATCACTTCAAACCGGGCCTGGAGATCTTGAATATATTCCTCAGACGATGAAGGAGCATCCGGAGGGCGGCCAAACAATAGATCACAAGGCAGACGAAGGTCACGACCGAAGAGCATCTGTGATGGAGAATAGCCGGTAGTCTCGTGGACAGCACTGCGGTAAGCCAGTAAAAAGAGTGGTAATTTCTTGTCCCAGTCCTGTTGGTTTCTGGAAACCACTAATGAGAGGTTATTAAGGATGGTTCGATTGAACCTCTCTACCATGCCGTCCGACTGGGGATGCAATGGCGTCGTTTGAGTTTTGTCAATGCCAAGTAGTTTGCATAGTTCTTTGATTACTGCCGAGGCAAAATTCCTTCCCTGATCGGAATGTAACTGAAGAGGCACTCCGAACCTGGAAATCCAGTGCTGTATCATTACCTCAGCTACTGTGACTGCCTCTTGATCAGGAATAGGATAAGCTTCAGGCCACTTGGTGAAGTAATCAATGACAACGAGTATGTATTTGTTGCCATCAGCAGTTCGTGGCAGAGGTCCCAGGATGTCAAAGGCGATACGTTCAAAAGGCGCACCTACGTTGTAACGTTGCAGTC